AACAACAAAAAAAAACAATACAAATTTCCAACAGCAAAAATAAATCAACAGAGAAAAAGGAGAAAAAGAGAAAAGGGTAGAGGGTGGTGGAGGAGCAGCAAAAACAGCGTGACATGTCATTATTGGGCTTTGACAGGCAAATTCCAAAAATTCAAATATTCCAAATCGATTACAGTCGGTCGTGGAATGGCATCATGGCAGCGCCGTCGTCATCGGTGTATTTATGGATAGAACTCTGTTGAAAATATTTGAATATGTACGAGTTCCGAGTGGTATTGTATTTTTGCATAATTTGGCATGTAAAACATTTACAACAATGCAAAGCCAAATGGAAAACGTGTTGTGTGTGGGGGGCAGAGTGGAGGGGGTGTAGGAAAATTATGGAAATATTGCATCATGCCAGATGCCAGGGAAATTGTGCGGCTTTTCTATTTTGATTGCAGTTGATTGTTGTCCTTGTTGCTGTTACGTATACGCATACCCTGGCCGAGGGGTGTACTCGATTTCCAGGGGTATCACAATTAGATTTTTGTGTGCTGTGATCCATTCAATTGGTCCAGCGACGGAGAGAGACCATTAAATGGGGTTTTATTTGTAATTCTGTGGCGGCAAAGGGTACCCTAATGGGTGCCAACCAAGTCTGGTCTCCTGCCCTAAGCCAGGCCGCTGTAATCCATCTGTTGTGTTATTCTAGAATTTCAGAGAAGCGAAAAGCTTTGCACGTACTTAGACACCTCCTGTTGACGGCTGTGGCTGTGGCTGCATTATAATTATGTACACATACATACATATATGAATGCATGTAAAATCCGAAATATCAAATATGGATTGCACACCCACACGGGCACACACGGGGGAGGGGGGGAATATTTTTTTACCTGGTGCCGCCGTTGGTGGAGAGTTGGTTGTTTATGTTTTGGTGTCAGGGAGCAAAGTGCAGTCGGTTCGTTATGCAAATAGCCGTATGCCAAGTTTAGAATGCGATTTACACTGCAGCGCATAACTGTAAGTAACTTCCCCCCCATCGAAGCATTAAAATCTCCCATCTTACACCCATGAAACGCACTGCATTTGCCGTTACTTCTGGCCTTTCTTGTTGCCATTTATCTTTCGTTGTCATATTTATTTATCAACAGGCAACAGAATGCGGAAAACTTCTTTGGCGTCGCCTCAAAAATGGCACAACAAAATAATTCTGTTGTTACCAGAAATTTATGTTTTCTCCCCGGAATGGAATACACACAAAAACCCAAGTGTGATGCCCATGTAATCCCCCCCAGTAGGTTATCTTTTCAAGGTGAATCTTCCCCCACTTAAAGTTATCTGCAGGCTTTTGTTTATTTCAATAAAAAAGCAATTTATAAAGCCAGCATCCTTCTGTTGGCCTACCTACCTGCTGGAGTTATGCAAATATCTATGGAGTCTGTCATGTGGGCCATAAAAGACACATTTTATTGCTCATTTGACAATATGGCTGGTGCGGAAAATCTAAATAATTTGGCAATTTCGTGCTGATTTTTATTACAAGCCACAAAACGGGACGCATTAAAAAATACAAAATAAAACACAGAGAACAAGACAGAGAGGAATCCCTCAGAGGCCTGAGTGTGTCGATAAGGTTTGATTAAAATTTCTCTGCCTGTCATACGTGGCGTATGTGCAACGCCGAAAAGAAAACATTGTGGAAATTTGTTTAATTAAGCTTCAGTCTGTGTCAGGGGGCAAAAGAAGCGAAGATTAAGTGGGTGAATGTTCTTTGGAAAGTTTTTTTCACAGACCAAATTTCTTTATACTCTGCCGAAAGAGTTGTGCCTCTTAAGGTGGGGTTCTGTGAGGCAAAGGGGGCTCCAAAACATACTTTTGTATTATTAATTTCCAACTAAATGTTGTAGAATACCTGTGTATATTTATGCCACCAATAGAGTATTCAAACTCTTAAATGGCCCGTTTCCCAACAGGCTTTCTTTTGCTTAAAAACTTCTTCTTGCTAGTCGGCTGATTAAACTTTCTTACCAACTGCACTGCTCTGAGGTTGACGTCATAAATTTATGCTTTTGGTTCTGGGGGGGCGAGGGGGAAGTCAACTTCTTTTCCACCTGGAGCCCGGAGGACAAGTGTAATTGTAGTATTTCCCCACAGAAACTTTTCCCTTACTTGCCAACTATCTCTCTCTTACTCTCTCTCTCTCTTTTTAATTATAAAATAACTTTCGGTTGTGTGGTCTTTCTTGTCCCTTTTTTTGGCCAAAAGCCTGCCTGAATATGGCCGAAACAACGAGTGCAATTGTTAGCCTCTGGTCCCTCTGTCTGGTCACAATTGATGCCCCGGCAATGCCGTGTAATTAGCCACAAATTGTTTAGGCCTAGTTGAACGCACACGCAAAGAGAGGAAAAGCCAGATGGAGTGTTCGTGAGAGAGGGGGGAGTGGGGAGGGGGGTGCGTAGAGGTAGACACACCATGAGTGGTCCGAAAAGCCGAAATTTGTGTGCACAAAACCAAAAGATGACACAATTTTGTGTTCCACTAAAGTGCTGTATCCTGTCTATGTATTTGAACTGGTTCCCCCCTCTGTCTGTCCATCCATTCCCCCTCTATCTGTACCCCTCATATAAGCCAGGCCTCTCTTCATACTCCCACTACGAACCCAATTAAGTAGGCTGCTCATGTCCACGAAATTAAAATAAAATTTCTCTTCCATTTGTATACCCTTGCAGGGGGTATTATGTGTTTGTTGACTCGCAGAATTCAATTCAATACCTGATTAGTTATAGCATTCCCAAGTGTCGTGAAAAGACGATTTTTCCATGTGTTTTTCTTACTGGTGTATGTGGACCTCACATTTTCCCATAAATCACTTAATATTTCCTTAACAAACAACTATGTTGACTTTTAAGAGAGGCTTTGAGGCAAACTGGTATCAGGAATCAATACAGAAATATTTCTTACGGCAGAAAAAGTAAAGGAAAACAGTACCGGAAAACAGTTCTGTAAAAATACCAAAAAATACCGAAAAATACTAAAATAAAATCCGAAAATTAAAAGAAACTTTGAGGTAAAACTGGTATCAAGAATCAATAAATAAATATTTTTTATAACTGAAGTAAATAAAGGAAAGCAGTACTTTACTTTAAAAATACCAAACAAATATTGAAAAATACCGAAAAATACCAAAAATTTAAGAAAATTAAGAGACACTTTGAGTAAAAACTAGTATCTGGCATCAATCAAGAAATATTTCTTATAGCAGAAGTGAGTGAGGGAAAACAGTACAATAAAAACACCAAAAAATACCGAAACTGCCAAAAAATACCGAAAAAATACCGCAAAAGCGAAATTTTGCCTATAAATATAAATTTCCCAAATCAAAGTTAATGAAATTATATTAATAATGGCATCAATCAAGAAAGATTTCTTATAGCAGAAGTGAGTGAGGGAAAACAATACAATAAAAACACCAAAAAATACCGAAAATACCGAAAAAATACCGCAAAAGCGAAATTTTGCATATAAATTTACATTTTTCAAATCAAAGTGTAATTAGAAATGAAATTATACTAATATTATATATATATTATATAAACTCAGTTTAAATCAATTTAGAAAATAATATAGGGACAAAAGTATATGAAAATGTTTCTTCGGTTGACATTGCCACGGAAATACCACTATATAACTCCTGCTCAGCTTCAGGTCTCGAACTACTAATCGAAATATGCCCAAGCTGGCATCTGATTTTATCTCTTCAGATTTAAACATAAAACCCAATAATCATAAATTTTTCCATAATTTTTGTATTAACCGCAGAGCAACAATGTCTGTGGAAGAGTATCCAGCAGCTTTGTCCCAGAAAAAACCTTACTTCTCTGGTGTTTTATTTTTCTTTTCGGTCGATTTTGGGTTGGTTTTCGGTTCTTTCTGGCTTAGTCAGGCCAACAAAATTATTTGTGTGGCTACGCTTGCAAGTTGTCGCCGCAAAATGAATTGAACTTTTATGGCTAATGACGCTGTGTGCCTCACGTTGCATGCGGCATGCTGCTGCACGTGTCGTATACGCAATTACATAACATTTGCCGGGCCCTTTTCGAGCATGTTCAACTTGTAATGCAGCCCTTGGCTAGAGAGGAGGCGGCGGAGGACTGGGAATGGAGTGGAATGGAATGGATAAAGTGGTAGCAATTCTCGGAGCTTGTAAAATTGTATTGATTTAGGCGGTGCGCGATGGCGAGACTGGAGTGGACTCTGCTATGCGGGAGGTTTGGTTAAATATATGCTCTGGTAAGGGATATTTCGTAGATATTTCAATACAGAAAGAGCAAAACAAAACCCAGTGGATAAAGCAATATTATAAAGTAAATATGTACAATTTTTATGCGGGCATTTCTATCGCCAAATTGTTATCCCAACTTCAGAAGGCCACTAAGGACGAGTACCATTCTATCAACTTGCAGAAGATTGCTCAGACGACAAGATCATGTACCAAAGTAGAAGAAAGAAAGCAAAAATGGGTCGGAGAGGCTTCCTTCTGAATCTGAACCTCATATACTGAATCACTGCAGTCTTTGAGTAAAAAGGGCAAGGATATGTGGGTCCATGTGGAGGCACTACAGAGTTTGGCACCTTGTGCACTCAGATCATTGAGCCATACATAGTCTAGGCACTTTTCCAATCATTTTGGATGCCATGAAGCAGGTGATCGAGTTTAAGGTTGAGCGTGGGCACTGAGAAGATCAACCTGGCCATCAAGAGGCCATCAAAGAAGCCACGGATTCCCAGGACAATCGGGTAACGTAACAGTCGAGGGATGGAAGGCGTTGCTTCATTCCTTGACTGTTACCCGGTGGTGCAGTGAAGCCAGGCGGTAGCATCAGGCAGAGAGCCAGGTTCTCAATATGTAGCCTCTGTCAGTTCCTCCTCTGCCGAAGAAACATGAGAAGGAGGCTCCCTAGACTTTCCATGGGTTTGTTTCGGTTTGGTTTGCTTTATTTTAATCATAAAATTCGTTATTCTGCCTGATAATCAGCTTCTGATTGGGGCTGCTTAATCCGGTGACGCCGCTGTTGGTATTCGTAGACGAGCCGCATCCAGATGCCCTGGCACATGCGCACCAGTCGCCGGTCCTTCTCCCTGTGGACCAGCGCGAACTCGAACTGGTCCCGGATCAAGTGCTTGGCCGCCCGCAAGTGTCCGCGCTGGATCAGCGATATGCCGTAGTAGAGCTTGCAGCGTGCCTGCAGGCAGGGGTCTCCGAGCCGCAGGCCAATCTTCAGTGGCTGCAGCGAGATCCTGCCAGCTGTCTTGGCCTGTGGGAAACATGTCATTGGATATCATTGATAACCATTTCTTTGGCTACTCACGCATCGCTCGAACTGCTCGCCCAGGGCCGAGAAGCCACCGCCGAGTGTGGATAGCCAGGACATCAGGTGCTCCACCGCTATGTGCTGCCAGATGGTGTGGGCCAGTATCTCGGCCCACTTGTAGTCGATGGTCTCGCGTGCCGGTGGCTCGAGTTCCAGCCAAATCAGCTCCACCCCGTGGTGGCTCTGGAGCCTGAGAGCCAATGCCCGCTGTTGCACGAATTCCCGCAGACAATAGTGGCCATTTATCGCATTCATCGCCAGCCGCAGACGACGCAGCTCTCCGGCGGGGGCCGCCGCTTCCCGGTCCAGTGGGGGGCAGTTGTAGTAGTGCCGCCGCTTCCAGTAGTCGCAGACGCAGACAGTCAGGGGTCCCGACATTATATTTTCTTAATTCCAGAGCAAAGATATGAGCAAAAGGCCTGCTTTACTGGCAGTGCTTCGGGGTTTGAATTGAAAATTGAAAGAAATACAAAAGCAAATGTAATTTGTAAATTTTCGGACTTCAATTTAAAATTATAACGAGAGCTAGTTTATGGTGTTATTTAATTTATTTATTATTCAAATTATTCCTTGTTTAATTCCGCATTATCTGTACCACTGCCCTGTCGCCTTGTCATTGTCAATTGGCGGGAAAGGCAAGTACAGTAATACCTTTAAGACTATGTCCATTTCAGCAATAGATAAGGCCTCTTAATAAGCCCAGCTTTTACGCCCTTCAAGTCTGGATTACTAGTTGAATATTGCCTGGTTCCAGCGCTGAATAAAATGGGTTATAAATTCCAGATTATATCCGCCTATGGCACTCCTTTCTTATATCCCCTAATTTCCTTCCCTGGTCTCTATTATTTTATACCTTTTTCTACCATCGATAGATATTTCTCTGCCAAATTATGTGCCAAAAATATTATTAAATATATATAGGCCTTGTTTCCAGCCCTTTGGGAGGACGATGAAGAGCAAACAGGGTCGAGAAAGAGTGAAAGAGTGAGGACGGCGAAGCCAGAGGAAAACTACTAATAAATTGCATTGAAATGTTGCGCATACGCAACGTGGAACTAGTCGAAGACAACCAAAAAGGCAAACACAAGTTCTGTTACTATCTCCCTTTCTCTTTCTCTGTGTTGATGTTCTTGCTCTTTCTTTCTCGCTGCAAGTAACAGGTGCAGTGGCAGAAGGAGTTGCTCGTAGATGCTCGTAGCTGCTGCTGCTGCCACAACTCAATTTATTTCAACATGTACTTTTGCAACAATGAATTTCACTTTAGTTGCTAATGGATTTCGCATAGAAGGCAGTCAGGCAGCAGTGGCAGCAGCATCAGGAGTGGTAGTACCAGTACCAGACCCGGCAGTGGCTGCAGAATCTCTGGGTGGTTTCAGTAGCAGTTTGTCTGCCTGTCTGTCTGTTTAAGGGTTGAGGTTTTTTTTCGGGTCAACTCCTGCCAAGGAACTGCATCGAGTCCTTGTCCTGTCTGGTGTCTCCTTGCCCTCCTCCTTGGCCCTTTTGCCGTCTCGTGTCTCTGCGGTAATGCATTTTGTTTGCTTGGTTGAAACAACGCACCCACAATGACAAATGAAAGTTGACGCGTTGCCTTATTGAGACAAACGAGGGGCAGGGGGGGGAAGAGAGTGTCCTGCAGAGGCAGTGTCGCCTCCTGGGCTTTTGGTTATAATCATGCAAATGACCTCTAGAACCGAGAACAGGACAGGACCGGCTCTCAGACCGATGCAATTAGAAATGCACTGAAAGGACTATACAAAAAAAAAAGAAAAACTATTGCCAGGGGCTTTCAGCTTTCCTTTTTAGTCTCAGCCACTTTTCCCATCAAAGCTCCCCCCCCCCCCCCCCCCCCCCCTGCCAACTTCTGAACTTGCTCCTCTCTCAATCTCCGGGCTCTTCGGGATACTTAATTAATTTTCTTTTGAATTACATTTGCCTGGACACTTGTATCAACATTGGCCGCTCATTGTGCTCCTCCTCCGCTCCTCCTCTCGGCCGAGATGCTCATTTCGAATCTGCTCGTAGTCCGGCAGTCAATTCCATTGTGGACTCAATAGAGCCGGTGCTGCTTCTACTGCTGACTTGCTGCTTTCGGAACTGCCATTCCATTCAATTTGCATGTCCACAGGACACTGCCTGTGAGTCCTTGTTTTTGGCCAGAGACTTTGGGCCATATTGTAAGTTATTTGACTCTGAATCGGTTAACAATTGTGTACTACAAGATTGTCCAATTCGATAGGAAGGGAGGCGACAATGGGCTGCCGAAATGTTTCTTGAGAACCTGAACAGCCAGATGGTTGTTTAAATACAAGGTTTATGCTGCTTTGTGCCTCGACTGCCCCCTTTCCATGCTCCTTTTTCGCCCATTAAAGCTCCTATAGATTGCCATTCAATTTGCAGTCGGATCACTCGCAAAACCGGTATCTGCGAGTGCAGAGTGTAGTAGTATCTCTACAGGATATTCATCAGACCGCAGTTTCCGCTTGTTGCTCCACAACTGCGCCCCCCCACCCCTCCACCGTGCCCCACCGATTGCTCTGTTGCTCCGTTGTTGGTGGCGGGGCGACTCCTCTTAGTTACACATGACATGTGTCAGGTGCAATCAAATACGCTTTCAAAGCTTAAACGCTTTTGGCGCAATGCGTGAGAATTTCAAACGGTTCTGCTGTTGCCACAGCAGCAGCAGCAACAGGAAGAACAACCTGCCATGCCTCACGTGGCACAGATTGTAGGCCCATGCCAGCAACCTTCGGTTTTGGAGCCTTTGCTTTTGTGGCATTGCTTACTAATTGAATTTATGTACAGAATTTTGAAACAAAAGTTACTTCGAAGGCGCCAACATAGAGCAGGCGAGTGCCGAAAGGAGGGGCGACACATGTGTGCGATTGTAATCAGTTGTGGCAGCCCCCCTTTGGCGTTCCCCTATAATCGTACCCTTCTCAGTCTTTGGGTACCCATTACTTTTGGAGGACAGTGATATATGGTTTTGGGAAGCAGAAGAAACGATCTATGGCTGGCGGTGCCGCAAAGAAACGAAACGAAGCCATTGTTGCCAGTCGAAAAAGGACACGATACTTAATCCGATATACTTCTCCTTCCTTTAGGGAGTATCCCATAGTCCGCATATCCTCTACAGCCCACACGCTTTCCCCCTGTAGCTCTTTTCCTCTTGGCCTCCCCCTGTAGCTCTTTTCCTCTTGGCTTCCCCCTGTAGCTCTTTTCCTGTTGGCGGAAATTCGAAAACAATTTGTTCGCCTAATGCCGAAACATGTAAAGTTTTTTAATTGTCTACAAATTGGCAACATTTGCTCAGATGCCACTGCCGAACGGGCGGCGAGAGGTGGGAGAGGAGACACTGAAAAGTCGACGCCAAAGTTGGAAAACGGCGCGGCCTGGCGTCACATGTTGCTGCTGCACTTCTCGGAGCCCCCCCAAGGACCATAATTACTTCTAATTGAAATGCGAAACCCGCAAGGAAATTGAACCGTAATGCCAGACTCTGCCGTACTGCCGTACTGCCGTTCCGTGAAGTTTCCCATTTATTTTCGGGCATACTCGTACGTTTCGCCCTGAGAGTGTGTTAATGGGAATTTATGTGGGAGCTTAGCAACCGAAAGAAAGAAAGAAACAAAAAAAAAACTAATTTGAGAAATGGCAAGGCCAACCGCAGAGCTGTGGGGGCAAGTGGCGGGGCAGGTCCTTGACTGGAAATGGGATTTTTATGCAACACCAAGTTGACCGCAAGATGCAACAGAGGCCCAGACACACAGACCATTTTGCGGTTGGCGACACTTGGGGACATTTTATTGCCCCTCAGTTTTTGGGGGCTCATTAAGGGGTGGAGGAATTGGTCCAGGAAAACTGCAGCCCAACGCTTAATTAATGCTCGGCTCGGCTTACAACATGCGTCATCAGGCATCAAAAACATTAGTTTTGCAGCTGACATTGTTATTGCCACTTGGGTGGTGTGCCACTCGCAGCCACGCCCAGCCACTCGTAGCCCCTCTGTTTGTTTTAAGCCATTACCATTACCATTACCAATTGCAAACACACACAGTCAAGAGTCAACTTCTGTGGCTTGACGGCTCTCTCTCTCTCTCTCTCTCTGTGTGTGTGTGTGTGAAGATTAAGCAGCCGCACGGTTGGCTAAACCTGAGAAAAGAGCAAAACAAATGCGAAGCCTTGAGCAGCCTCTGGCGCCCAAGTTGCAAATAAATTAGCATTACCAAGAACAAGTCAATAAGGAGCACATATATACCCATACATATGTATCCTTAAAGCAAACAAAAGAACACTTGATGGAGGGACTAACCAAGGGAGAGTAGAAGCCACTTTCCTCGAACAGAAAACTGCATTTGAAATGGTGAAAATGTATAGAAATAATATACAAATAATGTGGCATCATATCTTCCACACTATCGGTATTAGATATCGCTTCAAAAACTATCGATAAGGAAGCCCTGCCCAAAAGCTGGGCCTGTCATCGCCAGAGGCCTTCAATTGATTGCTTACAGGGGGATTAGTCGCGTAATTAGTTACTCCAGGAGCGGCCATCACCTCATTGAATATTCGAACACAATTCCTAATCGTAATAACTAAACGTCCTGCCATTCAAGGAGACATGGCCACACACAGCACTGCACTCCAGCTCCTCGCTGGAGGAGCGGATGAGTGAGTGTGGCCTTGCCTGACGATGACTTGGACTTGACTGCGGTGGCTCGATGGGCGCCTGGGCACACTTGCACTTAGTGGAGTCGTCTTGTGGCCTCGGCACGGAAACCCTTGGGGGCTGGTGGCCTGCCCCACCCCCCCCCCCCCCCCCCCCCCTCCCCCTCCCCTCTGGTAAGTGTGTCATTGAGGCTAGGATGGGGTTAAGTTGTTGAGGCATGCCCTTGCCTTGACATCAACTTTTAATTTACAACTGCGTCAACTCTTTCTCTGTTTATGCCTCTTCATCTCTTTTACTCTCCCTCTACCCCTCTCTGACGTTCTTTTTGTTGATTTAATTTATTATGCAAACGTGAGTGCAAGCAAGACAAAAACAGCTTCCCCGTTGCCTTTTTTTCTCATATCATTATTTGAAGAAAAGCCAAGAAAACCGAGAAAGCAAGGGCTTTTCTTTGGCGAAGCTGGAAATACTCTTTGAAATTAATTTTAAATAAATTAAAATAACAAGATTTGCCACAAAAAGCCAAAAAAAAACGAGAAGAAACGTTGAAGCTTTAAATACATTTTTTAAATCAATTTTAAATAAATTAAAACAACAAGATTTGACACAAAACGGCAAAAAAAAACCGAGAAAGCAAGGTTTTTCATTGTTGAAGCTTAAAATAAATTTTTTAAATTAATGTTAAATTAATTAAAACAACAAGATTTGCCAAAAAAATAGTTTTCCGATTTG